GATCAGATGACGGGCCCGCTGTGAGCAGGACGTTCTGACCAGCTGTCGAGACAACACAACGATTGATGGAGGGCCGCCGTGAGCAGGCGTCCTGACCGGACTGTCGAGACAACACACCGATCTGATGGAGGGCCGCCGTGAGCAGGCGTCTGACCAGCTGTCGAGACAACACACCGATCTGATGGAGGGCCGCCGTGAGCCAGGCGTCTGACCAGCTGTCGAGACAACACACCGATCTGATGGAGGGCCGCCGTGAGCAGGCGTTCTGACCAGCTGTCGACGGCAACACACCGATCTGATGGAGGGCCCGCCGTGAGCATGCGTCTGACCAGCTGTCGACGACAACACACCGATCTGATGGAGGGCCGCCGTGAGCAGGCGTCTCTGACCAGCTGTCGAGACAACACACAGATCTGATGGAGGGCCGCCGTGAGCAGGCGTCTGACCAGCTGTCGAGGACAACACACCGATCTGATGGAGGGCCGCGTGAGCAGGCGTCTGACCAGCTGTCGGACAACACACCGATTCTGATGGAGGGCCGCCGTGAGCAGGCGTCTGACCAGCTGTCGAGACAAACACACCGATTGATGGAGGGCCGCCGTGAGCATGTTGTCTCGACAGCTGACCAGCTGTCGAGACAACACACACGATCTGATGGAGGGCCGCCGTGAGCAGGCGTCTGACCAGCTTGTAGAGACAACACACAGATCTGATGGAGGGCCGCGCGTGAGCAGACGTCTGACCAGCTGTCGAGACAACACACCGATCTGATGGAGGGGCCCCCCCGCCGTGAGCAGAGTGACCAGCTGTCGAGGACAACACACCGATCTGATGGAGGGGCCGCCGTTGAGCAGGGTCTGACCAGATGTCGAGACACACAGATCTGATGGAGGGCCGCCGTGAGCAGACGTCTGACCAGCTGTCGGACAAACACACAGATCTGATGGAGGGCCGCCCCGGAGCAGGCGTCTGACCAGCTGTCGAGGCAACACACCGATCAGATGACAGGCCGCCGTGGCAGACGTCTGACCAGCTGTCGAGACAACACCGATCTGATGGAGGGCCGCCGTGAGCAGCGTCTGACACAGCTGTCGAGACAACACACCGATCAGATGAGGGCCGCCGTGAGCAGACGTCTGACCAGCTGTCGAGAAAACACACGATCTGATGGAGGGCCGCCGTGAGCAGGCGTCTGACCAGCTGTCGAGACAACACACAGATGGACGGGCCGCCTGTGAGCAGACGTCTGACCAGCTGTCGAGACAACACACCGATCTGATGGAGGGCCGCCGTGAGCAGGCGTCTGACAGCTGTCGAGACAACACACCGATCAGATGACGGGCCGCCGGTGAGCAGAAGTCTGACCAGCTGTCGAGAAACACACCGATCTGATGGAGGGCCGCCGTGAGCAGGCGTCTGACCAGCTGTCGAGACAACACACCGATCTGATGGAGGGCCGCCGTGAGCAGGCGTCTGACCAGCCGTTGGGACAACACACCGATCAGATGACAGGCCGCCGTGAGCAGGCGTCTGACCAGCTGTCGAGACAACACACCGATCAGATGACAGGCCGCCGTGAGCAGACGTCTGACCAGCCGTTGGGACAACACACCGATCAGATGACAGGCCGCCGTGAGCAGACGTCTGACCAGCCGTTGGGACAACACACCGATCAGATGACAGGCCGCCGTGAGCAGGCGTCTGACCAGCCGTTGGGACAACACACCGATCAGATGACGGGTCGCCGTAAGCAGGCGTCTGACCAGCCGTTGGGACAACACACCGATCAGATGACGGGTCGCCGTAAGCAGGCGTCTGACCAGCCGTTGGGACAACACACCGATCAGATGACGGGTCGCCGTAAGCAGGCGTCGTTTCTGCCGCAGATGCGCTGGCCGCTGTTCCGGTTCCGCCCGGGCCGAGCGGCGCCTGCCGGACGCCCCTTCAGCTGGCTCTCCTGCGAGACGGCGTCCACTGGTGGTCAGTCACCCCCTCAGGGGTCGGCGCGCCGCTGCTGTCGGGGGAGCCACCGCCCCGGGTGGGACTTAAGGTCCGTCAGGAAAAAACAAGTCGGGAAAAGGACGCGCTAACGCCCACACAGATCGTGACAATGCCTGAGGTTTATTCCGCTTACAGCATGCTTGTGTCATCCATCTGACAGCCTCAGGAGATGGTGCACGGGGCTAGTATGACGTGAAGAAGCTGTGTTTGCCCATCAAGTCATTAGTGTCCGCTGGTTTCAGTCAATCATTGTGTATTTGAAATTAGTTTCACCGTGCTTCTCATTCGATACTTGCGCTTTTGCTTGAGAACAGACAAACGTGATTCGATGGCCGTTCTCATGGAAGGATGTCCTCCAAATCTAAATTGGTTGTGAACACGTTCCGATCATTGTTTAGTGATTGCCCTTCGACAATAGGCTTCTTTGTCTTTTAGGACGTTGCCACAGCACGAAGCGGCTGACCTGCGGTCGTGTGACCGTCACACTGACGTGGAGCTCGTGGTGAGGTTTCCGACACCCGCGCCGCCTAACACAAGCGCCGAGGATCGGACGTATATCACAGTGCTCTGATGCCGAGGCGAAATATACGTAGTCGCGGTTGGATATTGACGATCCTTGTTCTTGGTGTATATATGCGTACACGAAACCAACGGCGTTATCTTCGGGCGCATCGAAGCAAATTGGAACCGTTAGCATGCTAATGAGCCAACGACACTGATAATGGTATCACTTTTAGCGTATTGTACTGAAGAGCTACGCGAACTTGTGGCCTACTTACGTAGTGAGCGAATTGGGACAGATAATACATACTAGCAGGCGTTCTCGTCATCGTCATGTATAATGTATTGCGCATCTGCACGGATGATAACCTGTCCTGCGACACACTACGTGCATACCAGGACTATCTATGTGCACCGATGTAGCGCATGTTGCCGGAACAGCCAGCGGCGCGTCAGCTGCACGGCAGCGCACGGTCCGACAGGGGCCGCGCCAGCTGGACCCGTCCCAGCACCGAGGGACACACCAGCCACACTCGTCCCAGCGCGGCGGCGAGCACCTCTCCCATCCCCCTCGGCCGGATAACACGGAGCGGCGCGTGCTCGTGCTGAGTTTACGTAAGAGAGAACGGCTGCGTCGCGGCAAACTCGGGAAACGTGAGCTGGTTCAAATACATATGATTCCAGGTCGGCACCCGCAAAGTGATTGTTTCCGTTCGGCTGAGCCCCGTTTGGGCACGTCTGTTGTGGGAAGAAAGGGCAAAGAGTGGAGGAAACAAGGGAAAACAATGCAGGGGAAGGGTAGTCATCGTGCCACGGGCTTCCACAGTCCTCTGACATGAAAACCCGTGCAGCACAGTACTTCACTACTTACCTCTGCTCCACACAAAACAAACAATAACACAAAGGAAGAATTGCGGTCGTTACAGCGTGGGCCTGCACCCGGAAAACATATCGCTCTGTCACAGTTCGTGGAGAAAAAGCCACCTGTTGGCTGTTATCCGGCTATAAAAGACTGGTCGACTGGTGGCGCACGAACATCACGTACCGTGGCTGTTAAGGTTAGTTCTGTCTTCCGTTTGTTACACTTCAGTCGTTGAAAATTGCATCGTTGCCCATCCTGTCATTTTGCATTGACAAGGACTTAGTAGATTAGACCACCGTTTTTTTTTAATCGGCGCTCGCGTTTGCATACCGGTTTCTTCTATCTGCTTACAGGGTTTTTCGGTTTGTGCAAGAAACATGTCTGTTAAAACCAAAACCTACAATCAGGGGCGGTGCCATGGGTCTTGAGTTGAGGGACCGGATTTTCAGGCTCATGGACAAAGAGGGGCCTCCTCACAGGCAGTGTTGTTGGGATATCCTGCGCACTGTTGTATTCGAGAGGGAGGGGCACCGTGAGGATATATCCCTCACCAAACTGTTACGTGTATCACATCCAAAGGAATGAATGTCGATAATTAAAAAAATTAACCCAGAGTTACCTGGCGAAGTGCCTTGCCAGCCTAAAACAGTGCCTCCTACTCCAGAAAATGACCACTGATGCGTAGAACGGTCTCCTAATTCAAACAGGATGCTTATGGTTCACGAAGGGGTCTCCAAATCTACTTAATGGGTCTCGCTATCCCAAAACAGGGCATCCTGCTCTGGAGTCGTGGCCTCGGATACATGGAACGAATTCCAGAAATTAGCAAAATCCCAAACCTGTGCCAGAAATTAAACCCCTGAACACAGAGTTCCATAACTTGAGTTCCTGAATATAGAGGGTGCCTCCTAACCCAGGACAGGGGCCTCCTAGCTTGTAACGGAGACATCCTGAGACAGTAAATGGGCCTCCCTAACAAAAGACAAGGCCTCCTGGTCTAGAATGCTGGCTATCTTATGCATAAGAATGGCCTCATGTTCCAGGAAGCGGGCCTCATGATGTAGCAAATGGGCTCCTGAGCCCGATTGGCTGTTTCTAGCTTAGTTATGGGGCCTCCTTGATCTGAAGGGGGGGGGGGGAGGGAGGGCAGCTGCGTTCTTTGCCTCCCCTTCTAACGTACTGACCCTGCCTATAACACAGAAGAATAATTCTTATAATACACATGTATAGTATGACATGTATCATGGTGTTGTTGTGCAGCTTGACAATTAAGCGATTTGTGCTTATTGGTTTTTACTTGACGGAAATCACCGTTAACAACTTTTTGCCTCGCTCTGACAGTGGACATCACTCTTGTGCAAAAAAGATCGGAAAGTGAGCGCTATCAGCCGATTCCAACGGCTGGCATCCTGGCTGTCTCTCTGCCTCTACCCGACCAGCCATGGGCTTATTGACACCAGATAACACGGATGCCTGCTGCCTTCGCATTACAACATAACGGAGACCAGTAGTGTTTTGTCAGCGGCTACCCGCAGCTTAGTCAGTATCCGCTATATTCAAAAGTTAATGTTTCAAACTAATGTGCTGAGGGTCAGAGTGATGGCAGCCCCATAACACGAATGACCTACATCTGCAGACATCTGCCTCCGATGAGCAACAGCGCACCCACAATGAAGACCGTCATTTGGTAAGCGGCGTTCTCTTTCTCAACGCATCAGAGCTATGTGGTATGCACCAGATGAAATGTGTGCTTCACCCCCGAGCAAAGAAGCACTTTCAAATCGTTAAGTCGCTATTGCAAGCAATTTCGTTTGACAAAGGTTTTGTTCATTGCAGTTTGATCATCTGTGCAGTTGCTGTGGACAAGGTCAGTGAATCATCTCATTTCCATCGTATTTTGATGAGCGACGTCTCCGATGCTTGTAAGAGTACTAAAATCTCGTGTGGTCTCGTGGCCTCCCTCGGTCTTGATCTCATGGTCTCGTGACGCGGTGATGCCAAGCCGCACCGAGACCTAGACCTGGTTTTAACTACTCTTCTTCTTTCGTTTTTTTTTTTGGCGATTAAGAAATGTCGCGTTCATGGTTACCAACCAGGGCGGGTCAAATTGTGATAATACTACAATGGTGCATGAAGCCTCCGTCTGATAAGACATCTTGTACGCAACTATCTTGCAAAAATGCCAGCACTGCTGCTTACAATCGCACCGATCAGCGTCAATCGATCAACGATGCAATCACGAATCGCACTCTATTTCCTAAAACAATGTATGGCAGTATAAATGGTTTCAGAGAAATAAGCCCCACAAGAGCGCAAACGTCCGGGTCTGTCCGGCAAGGAAACACATTACCTAGCTGGTTAACGTTAAGCTTCGCTCGCTTGGAACAAATTGACAAATAAAACTGGTGTATTTGGTTTTTTGTGGGTTTTACTTCGGATTACCAATGTATAAACTTGTGTATTTAATGGGCGTCACTCCGGGAACGGCGCGGTAACATACAGCTGCGCGTCTGGAGCTGCCTACACGCGAGGTCAAACCACTCATAAAATGTTTTTAGAGGCAAGAAAATCAACTATGCCAAGAGACCTAGTTTGGGTACTCTACGCAAGTGAGTTAGTTTGTAACACAATATTCAGTCATCGCTCTCGAAGTGGACGGAATATTTCCGTTTTTCGTGTGATTTGTAGCGGCGTGTAGCTTTCTTCGCAAGTTTTCAAACCACCTTGTGGACCGTTGTTCCGTCTCAACGTAACAATTTCCGTGCACAAGCATGACTTTAAGACATCTCACTCTCAAAGTTTCGAAACATACATCCCCAAACGAAAACCAACGTCACAGTCTAGCCTATTATTCAGGCGAACGATATGCCAGGATATGCGTAAGCGTCTTTCATAGCAGATGGGAGCAGTGTGCACACCTTGAGCGGGCCCACACTGTGTGTGGTGGCCGGTGAGCTAACCGCGTGCCTCTGCCCCCGTCCCAGTCACTGGCGGCGATGGAGGCCGAAGTTGTGATCCAAGCCGGCACAGACGAGCACGTACAGGGACGCATCGAGCTCTTCCAGCAGAGCCACGACGAGCCCGTCCAGATCAAAGGTGGGCTGATTCAGATGAGATATTGACTGTCCTCCTCACGGTCTAGGAGACATCCCTGCGCCAGTGCATGTGTTTATCACTTTACCATCGTAAATCATGTACGTGACAAATGCTTAGATGGACAAATAAATTCAAAATGTGGCATAATTGCTCATTCGGTCCCATTGAAGACACAACCAATGCGAATTTTAACAGTGTCTCGGGGAAGATGAGCCATAAACGCTTACTTTGCGCATTTTGCAACCTGCCATCTCGTATTTCAATAACCTCTACCACGGCCTAGCCGTGACTTGCCTGTAAACAGCAGATCCACTTGGTTCAGAATTCTAGGGTGCATCAAGGCTCTGTAAATAGCTGATTTTTATATATATGTATAGAACTAATGGTAAATACCGCAAAAGATGGAACAAGTTATGCCCCCCCCCCCCCCCCCCGCTTTGTGGCGGAGCGCCCCATCCAGCTGTCGGGTGCTGATCGCGGCCGCCGGACCATCATGCCGTAGGAAGCATTGAAGGTCTGGCGCCCGGACTACACGGCCTGCACGTGCACGAGAACGGCGAGCTGACCAGCGCCTGCTCCGACGCCGGATCGCACTTCAACCCGCTCTCCACTGACCACGGCGCTCAACCCAACCTAGAGGTCGGTGGTTCGCTGTAGAGGGCGCCGCTATCGCCCATCCCCTCGCCAGGTGGCAGCACAATTGCAGGGAACCCTAGCGTCGTGGATCTCCCGTTGCTGAGGGTTTCTGTTTGTTCCATTTGTGGTCGTCTGCACTTATATGACTTTTTTTTAGTTGATAGTTATTAAATCAATGGGCCAGTATGCTTCCATCTTTTGGTGCCTCTGAAAGCCAAACAGGTCCATATAATTAGAGCCAGATCGTCACGACACCAATTTTGTACACTCGACGGACAGGGACCTGTCCCTCGCCTCAGCCTAACCTGTGAACTCCCATGGCAGGACCAACGCCATATTGCCGACTTAGGCAACGTCGTTGCCGATGAGAGCGGCACAGCGCGGTTCGACATGGCGGATCAACGGCAGACGCTGTTTGAAGAGTGAGCACCTGAATGTCACTCTCATGTCACAGGTGGCTTAGCGTTACACATATGGCCACTGATCTCAGCTGACCCAGATTTGTGTACGGGCGTACCTATCTTTAAATAATGGGGACACTTTCTCTCTCTCTCTCTCTCTCTCTCTCTCTCTCTCTCTCTCTCTCTTCTCTCTCTCTCATCTCTCTCTCTCTCTCTCTCTCTCTTCGTCTCTACTCTTCTCTCTCTCTCTCTCTCTCTCTCTCTCTCTCTCTCTCTCTCTCTCTCTCTCTCTCTCTCTCTCTCTCTCTCTCTCTCTCTCTCTCTCTCTCTCTCTCTCTCTCTCTCTCTCTCTCTCTCTCTCTCTCTCTCTCTCTCTCTCTCTCTCTCTCTCTCTCTCTCTCTCTCTCTCTCTCTCTCTCTCTCTCTCTCTCTCTCTCCAAGCATGTCTTGACAATCTTCGTGTGCTGCACACCGTGCACAAAACGGTACACCTCACCAGTAAACTTCGGCTGCAGTCCGGTACATCTGTTCCTAGAATTGATATATGGGCTCCGATAGTCTCAAACTTCCGCTTTTCTTTCCGAGAACACTTTGGCCGAAAGGATGGAATGCGCTTTTACCTCTGAGTGTGAAGCTTATTTTTCGTTTCATGTGGAGGCATATTTTGTACCACGTCATCAATTGTGATATATCCATAGAGCCGCATGTTTGTTGCATATGTAAACATTTTCAAATGTCCTGTTGGACTGATACGGAAAACTGCGCTGCCAAAAAATGGACGACGAAAAGAGCTGCTCGTGTAGAGCCATCAAGAGCCAAGTAAAGGCCCCTAAAACCTTTTAAAAATATATTTAAACACCACCTGATACCTGAGGAAATCAAAGTTGTTTGCAGCCGGGAGCGTATTCAGAGGGGAGGTAAATCGGGAGCACGTCCACCCTTGCCAGTCTTTTACAATCGTCATTGCGTATGTGAATAAATGTCACCCACCAATAAATCACGATGGCAACGTAAAATTAGATAGAATGAACGTCCGCGAAAGTGTTGTACAATACAGGCACCGTGCCTATAATAGCGACTGATTGGTAATGCCGAGTGAATTGTGAAACTAAATGAGTAGAAGAACGCAATTTTTACCAAAAGCACCGAGCATGCACCAATCTTAGTAGCGGACTATTTGCCGAATGCGAGGATGCAAATCATTGTACCAATCAATTGAACGTCTACCGAGGGACGAGCTCCGAGCTGACCTCCGCCACGTCCCTCCGTGGCGGAGGTCAGCAATCCAATCCAATCCAATCCTGTGACGCAATCCCTCACCCTAAGGCGTCGGACTCCCCACCACAGTGACCCGTTGCCCCGTGCTCCCAGTGATACCGACCTGCGCTTCAGTGAACGGACGATCATGGGCCGGGCGATCGTCATCCACGCCCTGGAGGATGACCTGGGCCTGGGAGGCGACTCCGAGAGCAAGAAAACGGGCAACGCCGGCGCCCGGGTCGGCTGCGGGCTGATCGTGATGAAGCAATAGAGAGCCGGCCAGCAATCCGAACCACGTGGCTGACAGACAACGCCACAGGAGCTTTGGGTTACGCTGCTCGTTTTTCTGTATGTGTGTGAGTGTGTATTTGTGTGCGTGTGTGACGTGCGTTTGCATGCCAGTGATGTAATCTACATCACTGACATTGTGGCAGTCATTGCGGCAGCCATTTTCAAATATCGCAGACACTAGGCGATAATATATATGGTAGAGTACGGCCAGCTGACATCTTGCTCAATACGTGTTGGAAATAAACATAGTTGGATAGAGAGCTGTTTTATAATCTACAGGCCAGAAGGGTTGAGGCTTGAATTATCTACATTTGCATTGTCCCCTTCATCTCGTAAACTATTTGTCTCGTGATGCTTCCTCTCCCCACTGAAGATGCTAAGGACGGCGTTATGCTCCTACGCGTGGCTGCCTACGGCGATGTGCAGCTACGTAATATGGTGCATCGAAGAGGGCATATTACATGCGCGGAAAAATTTGCTCCGCGGAGCCGGGCCCCACACTCACGAGCTGATTTGCTCCGCGGAGCCGGGGCCCACACTCACAACAAGCGGATTTGCTCCGCGGAACCGGGGCCCACACTCACAACGAGCTGGTTTTATGCGCCTTGTGCTCCTATCATGGTCTTTGGAGTCACCCATTGTGATGCAGAATCTCATGGGGTTTCTCTGCTGCATTGCCCAAATTGCACATACCAGTCTCATCAGATTATGACCGTCCACCTGTCGACTTGTGATGACTGGTGTCCATTCGTGCTGACTGGTGCCCACTCGTGATGACTGGTGCCCACTCGTGCTGACTGGTGCCCACTCGTGATAACTGGTGCCCACTCGTGATGACTGGTGCCCACTCGTGTTGACTGGTGCCCACTCGTGATGGTGCCCACTCGAGCCGACTGGTGCCCATTCGTGATGACTGGTGCCCACTCGTGTCAAACGCGCTCGAGTCCATCGTCGAAGAGCGTTCGACCAACTGTACTCAGCCAATCCCTGTTAGATCATCCTCGTCAAGTTTCAACTGCGAATGTTTTTTATGACTTTGCTTATCACTAACAGCTTTCTAATATACTTCCTACATCCATTGGGGGCAATACCAGCTTGTCTCAAATTCGCAGCATCGATAAATATATGAAGGTCACTGACTTCAACCGTCACATCTTTGTTTGGTATTTCTCCATTGACGACCCGTCACTGGACAAAGATGTACAATCCGGCGTGGGGCGTCCGGAGAAGTCCTTGGAATTCCGATGGGAAGGAAAATGCCTGGCAGAGGCGTACATCCCAGTTTCTGGTTATAATGCTACAGGTGAAATGTTGCAATAGAGCAGCGACACCAACGGCCATTTTTAGTGAAATCAGTGAGCTCAGGTTCGTGAACTCAATTGGTTTGAAATTAGGCAAATTCAAGAATAATTGGTCATGCAACTCATCTGGTCGTCCTTGATTTGATGTGGCTATGCCAGAGCTGTGGGCCACATTTCATACCCATTGCATTCCCACATGGTGACCGGGCAAAGGCGGTTTTCGTTGGCATGGACTAACTTCAGCAGCTGCGTTCAAAGTTTCTGTATGGGGTTCACGTACTTCAATCTATCAGGAGGTGCTAGTTAAGTCATGCTGCCGTACTTAGCGGCGACTCTATTGATGGTAACCAATATTTTGAGCTGTGCCATCCCCAACTCAAGCTGCGCCATTCCCAACTCAAGCTGTGTCCATCCTCAACTTAAGCTGTGCCCATCCTCAACTTAGGATGGGCTCAGCCTCAATCTGAGAGGATGAGCACAGCTAGAAACATTAATTACCGCCAATAAAGGCGCTATTCAGCGTAACAACGCCGTTTAACCAGCACCTCCTGGTAAAACAAACGTCGTTAACTCTCCTTAAAGACTTGGATCTCATGACGCCGCAAAAACGGGAGCTGAAATGCATTCTTTCCTATAATCTTAGCCCATCAGTTCTACAAAGGACACTTACTTACACGACGCTCCAGAACGCAAAATCAACGTTTGGCATTGTAAACATGCAAGATCTGGCCCCAACGCCCTGGATTATTTTTGGGAACGTATAAAAACTTGTCCAACGGCCTACGTCTTTTACACTAGAAGCCCAGTTTCTGAGGCGCCTCTCGGTCGGGCGGCGCCCGGGTAACGTGTGGTCGGCCGGGCTGCCTCCGGCCACGGGAACGTGCCCAGTCTCAAGCGATCCGGTGGGCGGGCGCACGGGCGACCCGGGCTGATAGGGTAAGCCTATTAGTGTGTCGCTAATGGCACTCAGTCTACATTTCGGAGGCCGTTTGTCACGCGACAGGCTGAGCCGCGCCACCGCACAGGAACAGGGGCCGCTTTCACGAGGCATCTCCACACAAACGCTCTCCTGCAGACGGTTGCATATCCTTAGTATATTGTTGTTGAATATCTTGCATCTGAAGACGGTAACATCCGTGGAGTTGAGGCGGTCATCAAAACCAGCGGTTTTGCCATGCCGCCGGAGCAGAGCCAGCAGTCTTAGCATGCCCCCGGGGCTGAGTCAGCGGTCTAACCATGCCGCCGGGGCGAGTCAGTGGTCTCACCATGCCGCCGGAGCTGAGCCAGCAGTCTTAACATGCCGCCGGGGCTGAGTCAGCGGTCTTACCATGCCGCCGGGACGAGTCAGCGGTCTTACCATGCCGCCGGGGCGAGTCAGCGGTCTTACCATGCCGCCGGGGCGAGTCAGTGGTCTCACCATGCCGCCGGAGCTGAGCCAGCAGTCTTAACATGCCGCCGGGGCTGAGTCAGCGGTCTTACCATGCCGCCGGGACGAGTCAGCGGTCTTACCATGCCGCCGGGGCGAGTCAGCGGTCTTACCATGCCGCCGGGGCGAGTCAGTGGTCTTACCATGCCGCCGGAGCTGAGCCAACAGTCTTAACATACCGCCGGGGCTGAGTCAGCGGTCTTACCATCCATGCCGCCGGAGCTGAGCCAACGGTCTTAACATGCCGCCGGGGCTGAGTCAGCGGTCTTACCATGCCGCTGGGGCTGAGCCAGCGGTCTTGCCATGCCGCTGGGCCTGAGCCAGCGGTCCTGCCATGCCGCCGGAGCTTAGTCGGCCATGCTCACTGCGAATATCCACGTTACGCTGAACGGTAAAGTGAGACCGCTGCTCGTCTGACAGGGGCCAGACACTAAGGTATCAATTATTTTACACTGAATGCGGGCTGTCAGTGTGGAAACTTTGTGTGTGTAAAATGCAGCAGGCTCCAGCCTTTTGAGTCAAAAGTTGTTACGTTGACAATGACATGCCTTCAGTATACCAGGAGGTATCAGTTACATGACGTTTATGAGCAAGCATTGGCTTTATCAAATCCATTTGACGTGTTCATCCGCCGAACACGCCACATTTCCGTACAAGTCGTCAAAACTGAACCAGACCAAAGTGCATTCCAAAACTGAATCAGGTAAATACAAAAACGTTTCAAATCTGTGCACACGTTGTTAAAAATATGCCGCTATAAATATATCAAAATAATTAGTCATTTGAACTTCACAACCTATCCACCCACACACGGTATCACGTTGAGGGCTGCGCGAAACACCGGTGGCAGAGCCGGAATGCTGCGGTGAATTGTACAGAGCAAAACGAAGACAATCACTAGCTGTGACAATACGCTTCGTGGAAGATGTGTTTTAAGCATGCACATGCTTTGAGTGTTTGGGTGCTCTGTGGTCCGCATCCAACTGGCATCGTTCCCGTGCTCCCTGGTCCAAAGACAACAGCTTCGTTTCGGTGCTCCGTGGTCCGCAGCCAACTGGCATCATTCCGGTGCTCCCTGATCCAAAGTTAACTAGCATCGTTTCAGTGCTCCGTGGTCCATCTTTCAGGGCTGCGGCGACAGTATGGCGCAGTTCAGTTTCCTCATGAGCGTGCTAGATGGCTGGGATGGCATAACACTGGTGTTAAGGACGCCCCCAACAGCTCAGTCTCTGTGATATCGCCTGCCTCTAACCCCGGCAGGAAGAGTGGACCGCACCTCTGCTCTCCCAGACGTACCGCTTAACCTCTGCACTTCTGAAGCCCCGGAGGGCTGAGGTGGACCGGTGCACGGGCGCATTATATGTCATTATATGTCGGTTAGTGTCTTTCTGTTGGCTTTATTTGTTTCATATATCGTAAGGTTCATCTGTGTGGGATCACTTTGCGCTTTATGTCAGATAGTTACGTTGTGTTGTTCCACAGCGGTATAAGCGATCCGACGATTTTTTTTCTCAACTGCGCAGCCTGCGGCATAACACTTATCCATAAAATGCATGTGTTAACACCATAATGGCAACACTGTCAGACGCGAACTAAGGGGAAATAATTGTGATGTGACAGGGCAAATGAAGTGGGAACGTACGTTTTCTTCCTCCCGGCGATAACGATAACTGCAGTTCAAGGCCCCCAAGCGTTGTCTCACGAATCGGTAAACGCATGGGAGTGAATGCAGCGCAAAAAGACGACGAATGGCACAGGTCAAGGAATGTCGAAGAATTAAGCTGGCCCAGTTAGAGTGCTACACTCTACACGCGCATAAAGAAAACGATCTGTGTGTTGTGGTTGAATTAATCCTGTTATTAATAGTTGTGAGAATTTTGCTATAACAGCGACAGATGATACTTTAATCTCATGACCACAACAGTTATTACCGTTTGCTTTTTTCCCTTCTCTTCTACTACTCTCCAGAAATATTTTAGTACGAATCATGAAAGCACGCTCGCGTCTAAGCCTCTTAACCCCATATTCACACAACTGTACGGCGTACGTTATTGTTGTGAGTCTGGTAGGTGGTTTATAACCACTTGAAATAGTCTGGCATGGACCTACTGCATGAGCTAGATGCGGATCAAACCTTCTGATGCACAGCCAGCAGCCAACACCTACCGTTTCATTCATATTGATCACACCATGGCATCATCCAACGAACACGTGCATGATCTGTTCAAGGAATCTTAGACGTCCTTAAATGGAGCACACATCATAGATTTGGCAACATCACAGTCTCACTCGCAGATACCCGTACATATAACAGAAGCAGGCAAGTGAATGCCGAATCAGTAACAACCCGATAATTTAGCTCGCATATTAGCTCGCATCTTCGCCTCAGTTCTATTCCAGTGTTACAGAATGCATTCACAACAATGAAGCTTATACACAAGTGCATTAGCTTGAAAACGACGCACAAACATCTTTTGGATCATGTCAACAATGTACATTGTAATGGAACGTTCATTGGCTAACATCACACATAAAACTAATTAAGCATAACATGCACAATGCAATACATTAGACTGCCTTATCATGTTAATGATACCGACATGATGATGAATGCGCACAGTCGTCACACGCCGCTCCGGGAGAAGCGCGAAGTCGGCGATGGGGTCAAGCTTGGCAGGTACCGAAGGCAAATGAGAAGCGATGAGTGGCGAGTAGTGCGGTGGTCGCCCAGCCAACGTCACTCTCCCCTTATCGACGGCAGATGGCGCTGAGATCAGACTTGAGTCCTGTGAAAGACATGTTTGTTAACCCCGAGTTGTAACACTATCATCGGTGCGTGGCGTCATCAGCTGTTTTCCCGATTACGTGACACGTTCTGCGGTCTCAGTGGCAATGACAGCCTTAAAATCGGTACATTTTCCTTAAGTGTAAAGCCGGAACGGTGATGGTGATGGACCGCGTTAATGTCAGACGGATGCGGCTGCGGTTTTACGGCCACCATCTTCATGCGTAGCGAATTTTCTGGATTTTGCCTTGTAATAACAATTTTGTATGGCTTAATTTTTCATATCACCGTCCCGAGTGAAACGCGGGTTCAACCAGGTCCAGAGCACGGGTATAAAGGGGAGAATGCAGGTCCAAATGACGGCACTCATCGGCTATGATCTCCTCTACTTTGTGACATTGCGGCCCGGTAAAAACCATTTTGGGTGAACCTTTGGTGCTTCAGAGCTCACACTTGTTAAGCGTGCACCATGCACTCTTCTATCATGTTGTCTTTTTGGTACGCTATAGCTCAGTTTTCATGCCACGACGCTGAGACTCCCTTGAACAGAGTAGACACCATCGAAAAAGTAATCGTTCTGCAGTCAATACGCACTTGACTTGACTCAACTTCCTCCCGATTTATATGGCACCTCTCCCACTCTAAGCCATTTTCTGCATTGTTTCTGCAGGACTTTGGATAGATACAAAAATAACATTGTGGTGGCGCTTTACGTAACACTCCAAAGCGACACTTGCTTTCAACAAACATTGTGACAGTGTTTCTCGCCATCGGCCCGCAGCAAGCATAAAGTGGACATATTTTCGTTGTTATGCGTCTACTGGGGTTGAAATGCCTGTTTAAAGAGTCATAATTTTGCCTCGCCTTATGAAAAATAAACCCAGCAATCTGGCGGTCAACCCAACGTCTTAAACACAAACGGAGACATCTTTCTTTTTCCAACATTTAAAAGCGTTGAGGATACGATGTGGCGACATACCGTATACCGTTCTAAGAGCACGTAATGCATTTCTGGACACCTGGATACCTTATGTTTTAAGGTTGACCGTCAAAGAAC